TGCCTATCATTACAGCACTAACTGATTACACGGTCCTCACTAGCAGCCGTAGAATCCATGGTGATCTACTCAGCGAACGCCCCATCATACGGACAGCTTGTTATGAACTGGACGGACCTGATTTACCAGCCGAATCAGCCCATTCCGTGGATTCAGCCACTGATGCTTCCGCCTGCAAACCACTGAGTGCATCATTTCATATCCATTGATAACGATGTTCAATCAGCCCGTTTGGCGGGAAATGGAGTGCAGTTGCAGACAGTGCTCCATATCTGAAAGTTGATCAACGGGTGTGTTGGGGGGACGGAACATTCACCCAGAACTGGATGGACGCGGCAGATGGCGCGGCGAGATTCGCGACGTTTAGGACGATTTTGGCACCTATCGTCGGGAGGCAAACTCTAAGTAGAGTACATTAGAATGGTCAGATGATCGTACTAATCGACTCTACTTCAAATTTGGGCCCCAATTATAGGCACTAAATTCAGTTGAATCGCCGCGATTTCCGCCGCACGATTTGCCGCGTTCATCCAGTTCTGTGTGAATGTACTTATACCCGGCGTGTTGCGATTCGTGCGATTCTGGGTGCGCGCGACAAATTGCACGGCGAAATTCGGTGCGATTTGGACGACTGCAACGTTTATCATTTGGGCCCAAATTTGAAGTAAAGTGGTTAGTAGGATTGTCCGACCCTACTAAAGTACTCTACTTCAAGTCCCCAATGATAGACGCCAGAGTTGTTTGAATCATCGCCAATTTCGCAATTTGCCGCGCGCACCCAGAAACGCACGAATCGCTCGTCCCCCTTGATCAAATTATGAGGGAGAAATTTGTGAGACTTCGAAGTTTTTCCGAAGAATACCTCCGTACCAAGTACATGGAAAACCTGAGAGGACATTGTTATAGAGCGAGTCGTTCCGCTCGGATTCGTCTCGAGTAGTCAATCCAATTCGATTCAATTATGTGCCTGAAACGTCTTTAAACAACCTACATTTGTATCTACAGCACATTCCATATCAGTCGTTAAATGGCTTCTGTAACATAGAATGGGGAAAACACTGAAGTGTCCGTAGGTAGGATAAGTTGGCATGTGAGATTCACCGAAGTATGATATTGAAAGATGGTCCATGACGATCATGTAATTCGTGACTCAAAGACAATAATTCGTTGGGCCGCGCTCATTCAGATGGTGGAAACGGTCATTGAATAGCTCCGAAGTTTGGAATAGGCTAAGCATGGAAAGAGCAACACAGTAGAGTAAGCAACTGTAGAGTAGAAAACACTCCAAAAACGCAAGGCAACTGCTGATGAATCTAGAAAGCAACCTCATACAATACATTACCAGTAGGCACGTCGTCAGATTACCTAAAGGAGAAAGGGGATGGAGTTGAAAAAATCTCAAATGTCTTTTCAGCGTGCGATGTAGCTTTTCCGAACTCATGTCTTTTGCCAATTCATGTTACTATTTATCGCAACATACGACGCAACAGAATAGGCTACACTATATCTGCCTGCAGGTATGATGAAAGACATTCTGAAGCCGACTAAGCATCCCCAGGTGCTACTTCAAGTAAACACCGAATTTCGTAAATACAGTTAAGCAGGCAAATAGACAGACAGACTGAAGGCAGGCACACGAAGAGACAGACGGGCAGAGAGATGACATACAAAAGGCAGCATTTATGACGTTAGTAACAGACGGTTGGGCTCCGCACACCATCGCGTGAGTCACAACAAAGAGCGTATCAAACAGAAATTTTATTTTACCTGAGCTCCACACCTCTTAATAGTTGCAAGCTGTGGTAGGATATGAATTCATGCAAAAGGTCAATGACGCTCCGCTTACCGAGGTTCGTCTGAACTGTAGACCATTTCTAACCCTTTCCCAATTACTCCGGCGTCTCAACTTTCGGAAACAAAATTGGGAAGTCATGTATGCACCACCCAATCCTGTGCCTGTTCTGTCCCTGTGAACTGGTTCTCCTGACCTCACATGTGTTCCGTTGATCTTGCCAGAGACCCCACTCATCCCAAAATTGACCTGAGCCCTTCAGCATCTGCAAGTGATACAAATTCCAGGATAGGCAGACATACACACAGATAGAAAGATAGATAAACAAAGAGGATGAAGTGAATTCTCTCCTGTAGAAAGTTATGGTCAGGTCGTCGATCGTAACTTGAGTGACCCATGGCAAGGAATTGTAGCAGTTATCAATGGTGCAGATTTTCAAGCTGAAGCTTCATTGCTATTCCTACTGTATAGAGGAATTCCACATTACTACTGATCACTTGAGGGCTGGTACTGTTTTTGGTCAACAAGAAAGTGATTGCATGAAAATTTTCAGAGAGGAAATAAGTTCTACTTGAGATGTCTGTACTTTTCCATCGAAAAGAAAAACAGACAAAAATGTTTCGGATTTATCAAGACATTGGGAGTAGCTCTCCATTTGCGCATTGCTATTTATAATTTCAGCTCCGGTCAGGTAGCTGTTAACGATGAAGCTCTTCCAAGTGGTCATAAAAGGGATCTTGCTTTTCATGACGTCATTACTCTATTAGAAGGTATGAAAGACGATTTTCGACGCGAGAAAGTGCAGAAGCTTTTCATAATGTAGATGGAATTTTGATCGCAAGTGTTTGCCTGTCGCCACCGCAGCTGTGTAGGTTTGTTAATGTGAGACGGAGAAGTAAATGAAAATAGACTTCTACAAGATCCGAAGGAGAAAAGAAGTGTGCATGTGTGGTGAGCAACACCACCGATATCACTTGATCATCGATTTCCTCGAGAACGTCTCCATTAGTCCCTATCACGAACCAGAATGGTCCAGTGTATCGTCATCGCTTCAGGGACAAGAGGCTCAGCATTCCTTCCGTTCAGAACTTCCGTGCAGAAGTATGTCCATCACGTTGGTGGTCGTCCTGGTGTTCGTTTGGCGTTTCGAAGGATCCAGTCAGTAACCGTTATGTCCCAGTAAGCGAGCTCGGAACTCCGAATTCCCTCTGCATTTTCGTGTATGGGAAAACTGCGAGCATCGTCCTTTCGAGAGCGTTGAATGACGCTCACTGCATGCTCTCTCGCTTTCTTAGAGTCCAAGTCTCTGAGGTGTATATCAAAGCAGGAAGGACCGCAATGTCGAGAAGGTGAGGGCGGAGCCGGTATTTTTTATCTTCTTCACAACTCCCTCGATATTCTTGCATGTTTCCCACGGGCGCGTTTTTTACTGCTCAGCTCTGGAGCTAGATGTTCATCATGTTGACTTTCCGTACTGGATACACATAGCTAGAGCACTCTACGATATTCGTTCCCTTTAGCGTGGTGAAAGGAGCATCAGAAACCATTCCTTTTCTCTTAAACATCGCCAAAGTTAAGTTAGTTTCAAACCGATCTTACCACAAGCACTGTCATACTCGGCCAGACTCGTTCCACCGCTCGACGTTCGGGGTTACAAGCACGATGTCGTCTGCAAAGCAGAGGTCATGTAAATAGCGGCCGTCGACCTCAACTCCTAAGTCTTCCATCCCGAATGGCGTGTTATTTTCTCGTGAGCGGCACTAAAGCGTTTGGGCGAGATGGTATCGCCTTGGCGAAGCCCCCTCTTCACTATGATGACGACTCCTCTGTAGAACGATGAAATCATGGTCGCAAAATTAGTGTAGACGAAGCATACTTACATATTGTGTAGGAACAACCTGATTGTCTGGGTTTTGATTACCGCTTCTGATTCGACATTATCAAAGGCTTTCTTTAGGTCGATAGAGGTAAGACAGAACGGCATTCTTTACTCTCGCGATACGAGTCTTGTAAGAGTGTGGACATGATCGATTGTACTAAACCATCTCCAAAACGTTGCTCACTCGCATGACTGTCCTTCACCTAATTTCCTGCCAATTCTGCTAAGGAAAGCGTGTGGAAAGCTTGTAGACTGTAGGCAGTAAGCAAATTGGGCGATAGATGCCAATACCGTCGAGATCTCCCTTCTTGTACAGCGACACAGTCTTGCTAGTTTTCCACGACGTGGGAACTTTGCATTCCGACAGGTAACGCGTGAAGAGCCCGGAGTTCTGACGACCTCTAGTGAGAGACTTTTTCAATGTTTTGCTTTGATCCTATCGAGACCGGACGCAGTACCTGTTTTCATCGATGTGATGGCATGTAGAATTGCCGAGAGAACGATATATTCGTATTGCCTAAGGTGGTGGGCTCGCAGGTAGACGTGGCTGTCGAAGAGATCCGAGTAGAGGATGTAAGTGACCTTCCCCATTGCCCTTCGAGAGGAAGTAACTGTTTCGTCAGGACGACGACGGGAAGTCATCGTTGTAACTGGCGAATCTCCGTCGGGCTTCGAGAATGCTCTTTCCGGCTCCATGGCTTCTTCCATAACTGCCGTTCTTCTCTTTTTCAGACCCTCCTTTATCGCTTCTTTAAATAGCAAGTTCGGACATTTGTTGACGACGATGATTGCCTCGCGCGATTCCACTGGAGTATCAGCTCGAGAGTCTTTGGAGAGAGTAGTTTTCGGCTACTTGTAGACTCTCTGCTTTCCCACAATTGCCGTGAAGATGTTCGACGAGCCGCTTGTATCCTTCATCGATGTTTTCGATGAAGAAATCTTCCCATTCACTAGCAAGGGAAGCGAAGTGATCCCAGTTGGTGGAGGTCTTGGAACTTCGCCTCCTAATCTTTATAGCTCTCCATCCATGGACCGAGAAGCAGAATCTAGCGCGGAGAAGATGGTGGTCCGACCCATGTAGAACTTCGGAACAACAGCGACATCATTCAGGAAAACCTCCCATTAAAGATGATGTGCGTCTAGTTCCGTGTGGAACTGCCCACCAGATGACTCCCATGTCCATCGGGAATGGGAGGGCTTTTGGAACTACTAGTTACCGTGAATAGTGTGGGTCGACATGATAAACTCGGACAGCCTTTCACCCTGCTCATTGCTTTCCATTCCGTGAGTCCCCATGTGGAGATCTTCAGCCGTTCTTCTGGAGCCAATCTAAGTGTTGAAATCACCGACGACGACCTTGGAGAAAGTAGTGAAGTCTTCTCTACGGAGCCACTCCAAATCCATATTAAAAGCTTCCAACTCTTCGTCGTCCTTGCTCGATATTGTTACGTAAACAACGAAGATTGTTGGAGCTGGGGTTGCAAACGCAAACGACCGATTCGGGTAGTTAGGCTTTCGTACAAATCGATGTTCATAGCCAAGTGCGTATTGACGAGGACACTTACGCCGCCGACGCCTCTGCTGTCGCATGTTCTAAGAAATAGTTCTTCTCCAGACTAAATACAGCGTGCAGCAGGCGGCCCTCTCATCTCGGTCAGTCCAATGACGTCGTGGTCGACTTCCTTGCTTGTATCATCAGGTCTTCTATACACGCTTCCGATGTAATCGTCTGTGCGTTGAAAGCACAGATTGCCACCTTAGTCCTTCTCCTTTTGAGTAGCCGGTTCTCGCCCTTAGATTTTAGCAGCCTCTCCCGAGCAGTCCTACCCAACCTGCCGTGGGGCTCCCTCAGATTCACAAAAATGCCAGGCTATCTCAAAGTGGACAAGCGGCTTTAATCCTGGCGTCTGCCCCCCGAATCTGCACTCCGATACTTACTAGTCACTCGAATGCAAGCCTTCGGCTGAGCCGATGTGCAGTACATCGTCCGTGGACTCTCCCCACACGTATTCATGGATACATATGCGAGATACAGAAGGCATATTAACCTAGCACATCAGAAGCAGAGATTTCACTCTCGCATCCACCCGCGTCCCTGGTTACGTACCGGTGACTTTTGTTCGCAACTTACTCGCCTATCCTCCACCTAGGGTCGCGTCACTAACCGGCTAGAGTTCCTCAACTTAGAGAGAACCCTCAGTGTGAAAGTTCCATAGAGGAACCATACTCATGTAATATTTACTAAATAAGTCGATTGGTGTTCTGCTCAGATCAAATGTAAAGCGGCTTCTTGAATTAGACCCACCATCTGATAACATTAAATGTCAAGAGCTATAACACCCAGTTCACCGTTGATTTTCACTACGTTCCACTACGGATATTGTTTGAGAGGCAACACGTGAATTTGCGTTTTTCTTTCTTTATTCAGTCAAATCTGTTTTTTTTTTCATTTGCAGTGTTCAGTAAAATAATTACTGGTAGGATTAGATGAGAGTTAGTAGGTTTATGTCCTACTCACATCATACCAAGTGAATGTTTAGGGACACGCTCCATTCGTCTAATATTCAGTGAGAAGGAAGGTATGTTTGAATGCGAGGTCTCTTGTATCTCATTGAAGCTCCTAATCACCTGTGGGTGCCCAAGTTGCTTCGCCACCGGCCGGCCAGTGATTGTTCAGTGTGATAGACCCCTTAGAGGAGGAGTTCTATGGTAACAGCGCATATACACGTTAAAGCACTGCATACAAACAACTTGGGCATTTCCTCACTAAAGGCACCGAGGCAGTATGTTTGCACACAAATAATCACCCTTTTTCAGCGGGAATAGTCGACGATCTACGCCCTTATCTATTTTGGAGCTCTGATTCGTGCGTGCATGTTCGATTCCTGGAAGAGAAAAAATGCTTTTCCATTGGAAGCGATCGAGGTATACACTGTGATCCCGCTATGGAAATATTTCTTTAATGGGCGCTGCGGCCTTTACATGAATTCATTTAGATAGCAGTTTTTCAGCGTGCGACGTTTCGTTACCAGCGCCACACCTGGCTGCTAACCACGCCACGATTGTACGAAATATCTGCAGAGGATCAATTCAATTTTCTATAAAACCTATTTTTTCAAGGCACGTAGGCGTAATTCTGTTCTGGAAGGGTAAAACGAAATCTCGCTTATTTCATTCGTTTTATTCTGGCAATACATACCTTGTTTGCGTCTTGTATGCCTGAAGAAGCTCGAGTAATCGAGCGTATCTACTTGCTAGTGGAATGAGAGGCGTACTGCAGATACCTCACGTCCAAAGGCTGTGAGAATGGCGCGCGGACGCACTGAAGTAAAACGAATAAGATATGTTCGTACGTAAAGAATCTACGTCTGTTGCATTTTATTCCACGGTCGGAACAGGGCAGAACCGTGAAATTAAATGCAACACACGTAGTTTTCTCACGTACGAACGGGAGGTGGTCGTTTGGCGCGATGGGCGGGGTCGCGCCGCCCATTTGAGACGGTTCGCGGGGTGAACAACTCGTTCACATCGGGCAACCCTCCGTCTGTCCTCTCCAGCTTATAGAAGTGCGATGAGAGCCGGTCGCTTGGCGCGATGGGCGGGGTCGCGCCGCCCATCGCGCCGTTCAACTCGTTAAGATCGCGTAATCTTCTTCTCTCCTCTCCTCTATAGATGATGGATTGGGCTTCTATCATCTATAGAGGAGAGGAAAGCGGAAGATTACGCCATCTGAACCAGTTGACGGTGCTATGGGCGGAGTCTCGCCGCCTCAAATGGGCGGCGAGACTCCGTCCATCGCGCCAAACGACATACACCCAAGTGCGATCAATGGTGTCGCTACTATTAGACGCCGAAGTGCGGACCTGCTTGTATTCTGCCTACATAAATCATTTAGCGATGCCTGACTTTTTATTGCTTCTTGTGCTTGATCTTCAAATACAAATATCTTCCAAAGAAGATCGATGGAGAAAAGGGATTGTGAAAGCACAAGAAGAAATAAAAAATCACATGAAAGCGCCAAATGGATGATGCATGTAAGCAGAATACGAGCGGGTCCGCAATTCGGCGTCTAATATGTAGTAGAGGCGTCATTGATCGCGCTTCCGTCAGCTGGAGGGAGCAGACAGAGGGTTGCCCGATGGGAACGAGTTGTTCACCCCGCAAACCGCCTCAACTGGGCGGCGCGTCCCCGTCTATCGGGCCGGACGGCATACACCCCATACGGACTTATTCGTTTTAATTCAGTGCGCCGGCGTGCTGGCCGGCCGGCCGGTGGACTGTGAAGGCAGCCAGTCTGCACTTCTGCAGGCCTCTCGTTCACGGCAACCGCATTGACGGCCTGCTTGAGGCTTGTCAAACCTCCTTGATATCATGGGTAAGACCATAATCATGCAGTTGGAAAACTTCACATACATTTGCATACTACGTACAAACAGCCAAATGCCTACAGGCTGCCATTAAACATTTGAGGCAAGTATATAGCACCAGGAAAATAGTTTTCGGACACTAATTCCTCGTATATCTCGTCTTACGGAAAGTACTTCCTCAGGCTGTTCACACTTTAGAGCGAACTCCACAGTTAGATCAGCCCTATGAAAGAGCGGCACCTGTCGAAATGTCAATTTCGTGGAAAACTATTAGGTAGACGCGTAATTACTGCGGATTTTGCTCCGGAGCATATCCACCATCTACGACAAGCACTGCTTCCCATTTGCTAGGTCGGATTCAACAGGCGAACAAGTTTCGATTCTTGGAGGCGATCACGCCTTGACGTTGGCCATCAAGCTATCCACTTCGTCGAGAGTTGTGTTCGTTAACCAATATTTCAAAGGGCGATTGACGTGATAATCCATAGGAGTATTTGTTGGTGAATAGGGTGACCGTAGAAGCAGATTCCACTCGATATTCGGCGCTGACCGTCCCATTGCCGAAAGTTCGCTGAGTTCACGTTATGAGTGTGCCGCCTCCCAACATTTCTCGAAATAATAGAACATAATTTGGCGTATATGAAGATGACTTTCTAGAAATATCTCTGTTGAGAAAAGCAAGAAGATTCTTTCTACGTAAATCCGGGATCCAAAAGTTTGATTTTATCGGAAGAAAAGAAGCCACGAAAAAATCCGCAATAATTATGCATCAACCTAATAAATAACAGGGCTGTAATGCTGTTTAAAGGCACCGTTAACATGATTTTGGGGTAATCCAGATTACAATGAAAAACGAAAGACAAGATCGTAACTAGTGCGACTGAGGTGAAGAAACTGCGTGCATCGGTGTTTTCACAGTGAAAAAGGGCCTCGAAAAAACGTTAAAAAGGGGGGTTGGACGTGAATGAAAGCAGAAAAATGAAGAAGGTGGGGCGCCCGAACGTGCTAAACAGTGCGTTTCACTGCGCGCATGTAGGTCCTGGTGCGAATAACAGACAATGGTAATTCACAATTCATCACTTATAAGCATGAATAAACAAAAAAACCTTAGTAACAGCAAAAGTAGCTCAACTTTTTCAGCCTCTAGGAGTAGGGAATTAAATGAGGGATCGCGGCAGCAAAAAGAAAAACAGAGGAAAAAAGAGTGGGAGAAAAACATCGCCTCATCACTGGCGGTTAGCTGTTTGTGCGTGGGTCCTAGAACGAATAATAGCAATCCATACTGACTCGACACTCGACAACGAATAATAGCAATCCATATTGACGCGACACCGATGGAGGGGCGGAGGGCGACCGTGGATATCTTTCCGGCCCGTTATTGTGCCCTATCCAGCCGTTTTTCGACCTTATTCCTGCACAAATGGTACCAGAGGTGGCTTCGAATTCAAACCATGTGCAAATCTCCGAAACACTTTTTCGTTAACAGTGCCTTTAAGAATGAAAATCCAGACAACATTGGCAAACATCGCCCAATCTGCCTGCTGTAACCCATAAGCTTTTCACCCTCGTGATCCTAAACAGGATTAGCAGAATATTGGATGAAGGACAGCCATGCGAGCAAGCAGGGTTTGGGAGAGGGTTCAGCACAATCGATCATACCCACACTCTAACAGAGCTCATTGAAGTATCACAAGAGTATAAAATCCCGTTCTGCTTACTTTCATCGACCTCAAGAAAGCCTTTGATACTGTAGAAGCAGAAGCGGCAATCAAAACCCTTGGCAATCAGGGTTCCTACTCAATATGTAAAGATGCTTCGTGAGCTCTACATAATTTCACGACCGTGATCTATTCTGTGAAGAAACCATCATGATCAACGTAAAGAAAGGGGATCGACAGGGCGATGCCATCTCGCCCAAACTTTCCAGTGCCGCTCCGAGTACATTATGCGTCATATGGAATGGGAAGGCATGGGAGTACCGATCGACGGTAGCCACTCACATCATCTCCGCTTTGCAGATGATATCGTGGCTATAACCCCAACATCGAGGAGGCGGAACAAATGCTTACCGAATTCGACAACGCTTGTAGAATGAGCGGCTTCCGTCAGAGCTTAACGGAGGCGCTGCTCATGAGAAACGGATAAGTTCCTGGCGCATCTTTCACGCTGAATCGACCATCACCTCTGAATGCTTCAGCAACTTGTATCTAGGCCGAAAATTCAACATGATGAATGACCTGCTGTGCAGAAGGATTTAAGGAGAGGGTGTAGTGAGCGAAGAACGTCCAGCTCTGTGCTCACCTATTTGACACTGCAGTCCTTCCTCTTTGACATACCCCTCACAGACTTAGACTTTACGAAACCAGGATGAGCATGCAGTTAGCGTCATTCAACGGGCTGTGGGAAGGACGGTGCTCGGAATTTCCCCAAACACGCAAGGGCAAAAGGGAATATGGAGTTCCGAGATTTGTCAAAAACAATGATCAGGGTTGCTGTTGCCAACGTTATGGAATCGAACAGCAGGCAGTCCGCGCACCTGATATTGTGATAACCGCTGGGTTAACGGTTACTGACTGGATCCTTCGGAATGTCAAACGAATACCAGGAGGGCCGCCAGCGCGATAGTCAGACCTTTTCACGAAAGCATAAAGGAATCACTGTCCCGTGCTCCTCGAGCGAGTGCGATCAACTAGACTACTTTGGCTCCAAACAGGGACGATTAGAGACGACAATGGCACCCTCTCGAGGAAATCGATGACCAACGGCACGACGAGGGGAGACGGGCGTTAGAAACGATTTTGGGTAATCGATTTGCAGCATGCGGCTGTCGCAGACCACTCATTCGCCGTTATTACAGCTCTAGCGTTCCTCATACAGCTGAATCGATATGCGATCATCATTTTATGCATAATTCTACTATTAGTACTTTTGTTCTTGTATTTCTTACCTACTGCTGCATCCTGCTACATTTCTTCGCGCGCGACGCCCCTTTCACCTCGACGCGACCACTTCGTTCCTAACGTACTACACCCCACGACGGGTGAGGTGATATAGGGAGAAGCAATGCAATACAGCATAACCAAAGCGCTCAAGTTGTCCATCCATGGGTCCTGGACAAGGATGGATACCAATGTGATCGCTAGGTTAATTGTGAGGTTCTTATGAATGATGCAATTACTGCATACTTGAAATGTTCTTTTCGTTGTAATTGAATTTCCCAACTAATAGTGTGAGTCATATACGTGAACGGGGATAATCCGTTACGAGCATTTGTTTGAATTACGCTAGATAGCGATTCTTTCAGAAAATCATTACCAGTGTATCTTGTCATGGTAATTTCGTTGGCGGGCATCGACTAGACTTTCCATGAGGGCATGGCAAGTTCAGAAAACCGAAAATATACGGAAGCTTGTGGAGGGGGTTTTTCGGCAAAAAAGTGATCTGTAGCTCTTGAATCTTCTACTGACTCAGTATTTCGGAAACTCAGCTGGTTGATCCGCGAGCGGCTCGAGAGCATTTGTATCACCTGTTAGTCTAGGCTATGTCATAGGGTGACCTAGAAAATATGAGAAATAGGTGCTTAAGGGCTTGTCCTTCTTGATTGTCTTCCTGTAATTGAAAGTTTGCCAACTGTGGTCCATCATCAGCAGTGCATGGGGCACGATACGTTTTCTTTCGCTGAATCTCGGGTATTCACATAGTTACGATTTTTCTCTGCTCTTACTGTGCTATCTCAAAAAGCATTCGTTCAGGAGGGCACATGTATTCGTTAATGGTATTCAAGTTTCTAAGAAAGGCACGAGAACTCTTACAAGTGGAGATATACTAACTGTTTCCAAAGGTAACGAACTGCAATAGTGAATGAGCTAAGTTATGAGCAGAACAAACCTACTAACGGAACTCGCAGCATCTGCGGGACCCATGGTCAGATTGAGTGTTGATTTGAAGAATGTCAAGTCTGATTTCAAAGTTTCTGTAATGATCGTTGATTTTGAACCACGGTGGTTGTCGCTGTTAAGATCCGCAAGCTGTGAAGTTTCGATTTAATAGTGGGGACGGTGCTCGCGCACGCACGGCTGCTTCCTCTTCACCGAAATCATCTTCGGCTCGCAACATATCGCAGTTCAGCCGTAAGTTGTAGACATCAGTTAAGCCTCTGATAGCTTCATCACCCAGTGCTTTACAGAAACCCAAGATACACCAAGTCCGGACGCGAACGCGGCAACAAAAGCTACTACCCAAAAACAACAGGTATTTTTTTTCAAACAGTAAAACCCAACTACCGTTATTAGCATTTTAAATGGAATGGGATGGGTGTTCATCAAGACACTAGTACCACGTGGATAATTGAAAAGATGATACTTACATACTATTATAACAGTTTGTTAAACTGTAGCAAGGTTTGATAGAATCTGCCGATCTAGAATCCCATTACTATTATCACAATTTCGAGCTCCGAAATCCCCTCAGAAATTCTCGAAAGCCCTCAGTTGTTCCATGTTCGGGGTTTCCTGACTCTCAAACAAAAAATTAATGTCCGAAATCACATGACCTGTTAAACCCCAAATTTAAAAAAAATCTTCCCACCTTCCGACTACCGTATCGCCAGAGTCCCGTATAGGCTATTTACTCGACAGTGGTCGGAATGCATAGTGCCCTCTTCGCGAAAATCTAGCAAGACTATGTTACCGTATCAAAAAGGAGATCCGGACGATTTTGACAACCATCGCCCAGTCTGCCTGCTGTCTATGATTCTACATTCTCTTCACAAAAGTCATTCTCAACAGGATTCATAAAACACTATATCACTGTCATGCGAGCAAGCACGATTCGGGAAGGTCATTCCAGCCCTGGTGCTGAAGTATCACAAGTGTACGGCGTGTCTTACGTCATCGACTTAAGGAACGCCTCCAATCTGCAGGCAGCAATTCATTCCTTTGACTAACAAGTTCATTTAATGAGCTTATATATCTAGTAGCGTTAGCAAATAATAGCAATAGAGTAACGTGCAAAATATTTCGACCGCAGCAGAATTAAAGTGTCAGGAGGAGTGAACCAACATCATGGAAAGTTCACTCGTTTGTAGCGTAGGGTTTTTGTCTAGAAGCCCTTTCATGAAAATTCGACTTCGCAGTTTTACTGCACTGCTGTGCTGTACAGATCAAATGATGCCCTTTCCCACACAGTATGTTGCGCTTACTCTTGACAGGCCGTCCTTGTAAACAGAAAATTTCTGATTCGGTGCGCAGTGGAACACTATTCAACTGGTAGATTATACCTATCATTAGCAAATCGACTATGTTCAGGTTAAACTGGAGCGAAATGACACGATCTCGCTAACTCAACTAGAAGCTAATTTGACGTGCTGTGTTTGCCTCAACATATTTTTCAAACCAATCAAGTATGCTAGTCAGAGAGCTTTCTTTTGGTAGATTACACAAGGAGAAACTGATACAGCAATTTCTGTGCAGCATCGATCCGTGCAATCACAAATGTTGCTATTCGTGCGTATTGTCATGGCTTCAGCAAAATCGATTTGTTGGGAGATGCCCTCAGGTAATCCTCGCAGACAAGTAATACAAAAACTAAGCTATAAAGTACAAATGGACGGGAGCGAGATACCGTGTACGATCAAAGTCGCGTGGCACATCTGCATAAGGCACCCTGTCGCACCGTCGGGGTCGTCCTGCCGAGGCCAGTCCGCATTGATGGTTGCACGGCAGGAAGACTCCAGCGGCGTGAGCTAGGTGATCGGGGTCTTCTGCCCGCTCGCTGTGCTTGTGTTCAACGGCCACACGGGCTTGGTAGGCCGCCCCAGTCTCCCTTTCGAGCTTCTACGGGCTGGTACTGCCTCCGCAGTACGCTAAGGGCTGCCCTGCGCCGAGCTCCCTCGGCGCTGATAGCACGGTGTTATCATAGCCTACGTGGGACATCCCAGCGTCCCAGGATGCCTGCGATATACATAAATATTACCACACTTCACGAACCAAGAGCACACCTTATAAATCATACTGTTTTATGATGAAAAACGTGGAAAAGAAAAAGAGGTTTAATACGAGTAAATATGGGCAACACGATATAAATAACTAGGCGGCTACGCACGCTCTCGTGTGCGCTAGGAGCTCATGAGAAACGGAGCCACATGAGCTGATTTTTATTATAGACCTTTATCGGATTTATGAGTTTCTGCTCAAGCCCCGCCCTCCGTGGGCGGAGTCTGGTCCTTCCACCCACCATAAGTATTGCCACCATGGCGCCTGTACTCCTACCAAGTTTGAACTTTCTAGGTCCACTGTGGAGTTATGGATTGTGAACTGGAGTTAAGGATTTTCGTATATAGGTGTAAGAAGGGATATGAGCTTTGACGCACACTCCGCCCATTGTGGGCGGGCCTCCGCTGACGTCATTCATGCTGGAGACACCTTCGACACTGCTCCTCCTACTTCAACTTTTTCCTGCTCTGCTGGCTTTCTCCAAACCGAGTTATAGATGTTTTCATAAAAAAACTGCATTTCTGGAGAGCGCCCCGCCCATTGGGGGTGGATCTCCCCAATTCGATCTAACTTTCCAATGCACACCTCTAGCCACCATGAAACTCCAGTTTTGAAGCCGTCTCGTGACTGAATTTGAAATCATGGTCCACAGCTCATTTTGACGAACGCCAAGCCCACTGTGGGCGGGGCTTCACCGAGCTGATGTGTGTTTTATACTTCTCGGGATATGGCCCACCCATCTCATGCTTGACCCGGTCTCTCTAGGCAGATCTAAAGGAGCTAAAGAATTTCGTGACAGACATACAGACATACAGACAGACAGACTAAGCACTTTATAGTAAGTAGGATACTATGAGAAAAGGCATGAAAAATACACACGAACATAAAACCGCACTTAACCTGCGGACTGAGTACGATCCTGCTCATTCCTCATTCAGGGCCACCCAAGTCTTCCCAACCTCCTTCTGCTACTACCGCTCCAAGGTCCTTCATGGCTGCAGAAAAATCATCCTGATGCTCCTTGCTTGCGACTTATTCAGCAGCAATGGTACCACTGGTAGATGACGACAGTGTGGCGCTACGGGAACCATTGGGGCTATGGTGTTGACATCGATTGGCACCAAAAGACGACGAAGGACAGGCGGCTGCGACGATGACGGCGACGGCGAATGATGAGGCTGTCGTCGCATGGCGGCTAGAGTCCACTGCCACATGGCAACTCTAGCTCTCTGCAGTGTACTGTGCCTTCTGGGGCGGAACTACAGGCGCTCCACGCCAGGCCTACCTTTAAGTCGTCCGAACGGCACGACACACTCAGTTAAAGCGTCAGAATGAGTCGAGCTCTCCGACCTGTTAACATACTTGTTTGCAATGAAGAAACATCTATTTGTACATTGTCTCAAATGCATTACTGTGCTTGTCAAATGATCTGGAAATCACCTTAACCTTGATAAGTAACTGTATTTCAGAAAGATGCGCCCCCACTTTCGACTACCTTCCACAATCGCAGTTGCGTCGCGAATGCGCATGTGGACTATACAATGACTTGAGGTGTACAAACCAGAGCTTTTATCCTCCTAAACGAGTCTGGTACCAATTGTCCAACTCCGAAGGGATGGAAGTTGTCCTAAGCGGGTATCCATGCCGGATTGAACCCGTGTTTGCGTGTGTGGTTGTGCGCCACTTGCCACTACGCCACTACTCCTAAATTGTGAATGACAAATATGAAAACAAGAAGAAAAGCAACTTCGCAGCTATCTTAAGGTGCACTGAAGCGATGGTTTAGCTCTTTTGACAAACCAGTGATCGAAATCTTATCAACTAAAAAACGAAAAACAGAGTAAAAAATCAACAAAGGGCTGTATTTTCAGTGTCGGTGTACTATCATGAGTGTGAAGCTCGATCCTGCGCTCAACAGTATAGTGGAGACAATGTTAACGATGAAACCAGGTTCGAAGCATTCAATTCGAGAACTGGGACGTTTTCTTGACCACTGTATATCAAGAGGACAGCCCAAAGTTTTGACAAAATTAATATGAAGCTCATAGAGCTGTAATTGTAACCAATTTCTGGCAACGAGAAATTGCAATGTAGTAAATGAACAGCACGCCAAGAAACCAACCGTCTCTTAGAAGTGTGCCGTGTCTGTTTCTAAGCATGCAACTTGCAATCCATACAATAGAGCTTTTGGATTGACAAATTCAAGAACTTGTTGGATGAATGGCACTGGAAGGAAAAGACAAATAGTGGTGAAATATTCAATCTGGGAAATTGACGTCACAAAAAGGTGAGATACAAGAGGGAAGAGTGAGCATAGCTGCGTAAAACAGAGTGGTCTTAGAAATATGGAAGGGAAATCTCAAGTCATTTTTTTAGAGCTCCACAACTTTCCATTCTTGATCCGTGCCCATAATTCAGCAGATGAAGCTTACTCTCGAAACTTCTCCATATTCTATATATGTGGCCGGATTGCCTCCCTCTAACGATGTAATTTTCACAAGAACACCCGCGAACCATTATCTTCAGTTTATGGTATCGCAGTGGAAAGCTCGCAACATCAACAGCGCACTGAGATAACGCACCACCTCTGGAACGCAACAAAATGTACATGCCCGTCCGTGGCAGCCAACTATTGCAAGGATTCGCTGTGGGATCTCTATTGGTACGATACCACTGTTGTGGCCCTGCCCCTAACCGAAGCGCACAGTGTTAAGTAATAGTTCGATTAGGGTAAGGGTGAAAGCGGGTGGAACCAAGTTGGAAGGTTGTAGGTCAAAAAAAAACAAAGATGGGATCATTTGCTTAGATTGAGGTTCACTGCATGCGCATAAGCACATGGAGGTAGAAAGTACCAAATAATGGACTGCGTTAGAACAAGCTGAACAACACATGAAAG